AATATACCCCTCTGCATCTCAAAACAGAATTCATGCCCATTTTAATTCAACTTTTAAAAACAGTCTTTGGTATAAAAACCTTTGAACAACTTAGGGATGTTGTATCTAAATCTTTTCTTTACACAAACTTGGTTTTCTGTCGGCCCCCAAGAAATCCTAAAAGTTATACATAATGCTTCCTTTAACGTTATTTCCCCTAATACACATGTGAAAATGTAAACATATTTAGGTAAGCACATGGAAATTTGGTTAATAATGTGAGAATGCACTCTATGAATTACCTCTTATACATATTTATTTTCACTGTATTTGGAGACAATTTCTGCAACATGACATTGATGGACTGTCAGTAGACCTGACTCTAGTTGTAGTTATAACAAAAGTCAAGTAATCCTTATGAAAAAGGCCACAAAAGGATTGGGCATCCCTTCTGCAGGAAAACGTTTCTCTTCAAAGTGAATGAATAAGAAAATTCCACCTATCTCTCTTTGGAAGGCATAAGAAATACAGTCATGAAAAAGTGTTTGCTTCATACAAATATAGCCTTTGTGCCTCGTACCTCCCTGACCAAAATATGGTCAGTCTGGATCCAAAGGAATCTATAACCAATTAAAAATTAACTTCACACAAGATATGTCCACCTGGCATATGTGAATGAACCTTATTTGGAAAAAGGATCTTTGTAAATGTAATTATATTAAGAAGTTTGAGATACCATCCTGGGATAGTAAATACAGTGATGACTTATAAGGAGGGGAAGAAACAGAAAAAAAGGTCACATGGAGATAGAGACAGAGAATGGGATTATGCTTCCACAAAGCAAGGGATGCTTAGAGACTCTGGAAGCTAGGAGTGAGACAAGAAATGGAATTTCCCCTACGCCTCCAAAAAGAACAAGTCCCACTTATACCACAATTTCAGACTTCTGGTCTCCAGAACTGTGAGAAAATAGATTTGCACTGTTTTATGTCATCCAAATTGTGTTAATTTGCATGGCAGCCTCAGTAAACTAATGTAGACTCAATCTTATTATGGTGTCTGAACTCTTCCAATGCTGTCCTTCCTGGGAAAAGTGGGGAAAATCAGGTAGTATAGGCGCATCATTGCTCAAGGAGAGAATATTTGTTGCTGTACTCGAGAAGAGAGTAAGGAATTGTATTTAGATTCATTGAAAGACATGATAATTTTGAACAATAATGACAGAAATATGACTAAACAAACTTTGATTTATTTTAAGTTTTAGCTTACAGGCAAGAGATAAGTTTTAGCTTACAGGCAAGAGAAGTCAATTAAAAGAAAAAACCTCATTCATGATCCCAGTGATTGGCAAAACAAATGTGACAGGGCCTCCCTGGTGACGCAGCAGTTGAGCGCCTCGCTGTGAAGCTGCCCGCAGCCTCTGCAGTGCCGGTTCGATCCCCGGGCCCCCAGCGAGGGTCCCACATGGGGTGACAGGCCTCTCCTGCCATGCTCGCTGCTCCCCTCAGCAGTGTATTTCGTCAGTCTGCCTGTTCTGTTCCCTGCTCTGGCTCTGGTGAATTCTCTCACCCTCCCTCACTTCTGACTGTACCCAGTGCTTGTACTAAAAAAAACAAAAAACAAAAACAAAAACAAATGTGACAGATTTCTATTATCTTTAAGATATTTTTTAAAGCCTTCAGAGGGAAAAAAATTGCATTGAGATGAAATGATCTTACCCTTCACAAATTAAACATTCTTGGAGAAATAGGATTTCTAATCTTTGCAGTACTTTTCAAGAAGAGAAGATTCCACAAAATATTTACTTATCTTTCCCATTTTGCCTATTGACATGTTTGTGTAAAGAAAGCTACATATGGAACCTTAAAATTTAAATTATACTTATGATCATTTCTATGTTTTTAAAAATATATATTTAGCCTTATTTTATTATGTGAAAAGTAAACAAAGTTACAAAAATAGCTATAGGTTGAATAATGTGGTTTACATGTTTTTCTGATCCTGCCATATTTTCTAAATTGTACCCTTCGAAGATATTTTACCTTTAGAAACCATCCACATTTGGGTAAATAATATATTAAAAGCACAATAATCATGAATTTAATGGCAATATAAATGGAAAACAGGATTTTTATATTCAAAGCTGTCTTCTGTAGAAATGAAGATCCTCAACCAATAATTTATTAATCACTGATTATGTCAACAATCTATGGTCACTGCCCTCGGTGAGTTTTCTACCTAGTATGACAGGAGGCCACAAGGAATTACAATGGGTGCTAATATTTACCAACAAATTATTATTTGGTAGGTCCTGCTTAAAAATCTCACATGCATCCTCATTTATAACCCTAGCAAAACATCATCAAGTAGCTACTATTAACATTCCCATTTTATAGATGAGAAAACTGAGGCAGAGGGGTTAAGTAACATGGCCAGGGAAAACACTGCTAAGTAGAAATATGACTTTCAAGTTTGATCTTTAAGCCACTATACTATACTGAACTTCCCACCAGCATCAGTAACAAAGATTCTGATAAGTCCTTTTCTTTTTCATGTTCTAGGATTACAGAGAGAGAAACAGTCATTTATTCCAACTTGGGGGGAATCTAGAAAGACATAGGTAGAAAGTTGCTTCTACATTAGACTTTAAAAGACAGGGAGAAATTTAATACATGTAGAAAAAAACATTTTACTTAGAGAGAACAGAGAAATATTTAGTGAGCATTTGCTCCAGAAGAATTTTGTGCTATTCCAGAGTATGATGGAAATTTCCACATCCTAATTTCTACCACCTATCTCTTACTACCAGAGTGTAGATAACCTTTCTAGAAACTATGAAATCTTCTCTTTCTGGGTATAGCATCAGACTTCTGGATGCCTGCCTAAAATTTACAGGTTTCAGAGGTTTGGAAGTGGGTATCTGGCCCCGCTGCACCATTACTCTAAATAGGATTCACAGAATTTGTAGCTAGAACATCTTGTACTGTATACATAATGCCTCAAATTTTTCAAGTGATTTTCCTTAGATCCAGAGACCTGACCCTGCTCAGATTAATTCAGTGGTTTTGATTGCTAGCACTGAAACAGAGGAAAACATTACAATCTGAGATAAAACTTCCATAATTACTGATATGTCTCTAAACTAATATGTCATTTTACAGTTAACACTGAAAGTTTTAAAGTCATGATTTCCTATCTCCACAATTAAGGGTAGAAATATATGGAACTGACTCCAGAGTAAACATGATGATATTGATATGGGAAAATCACAGTATTAACAAGCTTTTGGGATACTGCAATTGATATTGTACCCACATCAAACTTTAATAAAACTCACTGGAGTAATCTTTTCCCATTCAATGGAATAATTGCATTTTCTGTTACTAGAGCTCCTACTATGACTCTGAAAATGATTTCATAGAAATTATCTATCTCACATTTATATGAGTTAGATATACTTTTTAAAAAAGATTTATTTACTTAGGCATACAACACTATACTGGGGTACAGGCCAGAGGTGTGGCGGGGGGGTGAGAGGATTCACCAGACAGACTGAGGAACAGAAAAGGCAGACTGACCAAAATACACTGCTGAAAGGAGCAGCAGGCAAGACAGGAGAGGTCTGCTGTGCCTGTGGATCACCTCCCTGGCCGGGGATCGAAGTCATGCTACAGTGACTGTGGACAGCTTCATAGTGCTGCCTCAAAACCCTTGTGTCATGAGGGAGGCCCCATCATAGATATACTTATTGTATAGGTCAAGAAACTGAGGATCCTCCAGAGAAAAAACACTTGCCCAAAGTCACAAATCTCATAGATAGTACATTAAAGATTGGAATGCTGGGTCTTTTCCCCCATATTTTGACGAATAACTAGCTTAAAATATACAGATGCCCCTACCTTTATTTCCATATACTGGAAAATAAAGAGACACATACAAAAATAAGTGGGAAATAATTTTACCTATTTAACAGGATTTAAAAAAAAATCTTGCATTTGAATGGCCAACAGCATGTGAAAAAATGTTCAGCATCACTTGTAATCAGGGAAATACAAATCAAAACTATAATGAGATACCATCTTACACCAGTGACAATGGCACATACTAAAAAATCTAGCAACAACAAATGTTGGCGAGGCTGTGGAGAAAAAGGAACTCTCCTGCACTGCTGGTGGGAGTGCAAACTGGTCCAACCACTATGGAAAGCTGTGTGGAGATTCCTCAATCTGCTAAAGATGGAGCTTCCATATGCTCCAGCAATTCCACTCCTAGGTTATTTACCCAAAGGACACAGAAACATTAATTCCAAAGGGCACCGCACCCCTATGTTTATAGCAGCACTGTTTATAATAGCTAAGATTTTGAAACAACCCAAATACCCAAAAATAGATGACTGGATCAAGAAGATGTGATACATATACACAATGGAATATTACTCAGCAATCAAAAAGATAAACTCATGCAATACGCAACAACATGGATGGAGCTAGAAGGGATCATGCTCAACGAAATAAGCCAAAAAGTGAAAGAAAAATACTGGATGGACTCACTCATAGCAGGAATTTGGAAAACCTAAATAAGGGACCAGGAAAAAGACTAATTCTAATAAAGTAAAAATCAAAATCAACAAACAACTATAAACCAGAGACACACTAGGGGGTGGGGGGAAGGGAGTAGGATCAAAACAAGGGGGGTGGGAATTGTATGGGGACTATAACCAAGATGAAAATGCATACATTGTGCAAAAATGAAAAATGATGTAAAAAAAAATAAAATGAAAAAAAATCTTGCATTCAGAGTAAATTTGAGTAAATACAAAAATGGATACAGAAACAAAATAAAAATAGCAAAACATTTTTGAAATCACAATTTATAAATTTATCTACATTCTTGCTACTCGGAGAGTGATCTGAGGACCAGCAGTTTCACACTCATTTAGGAGATTATTAGAAATGCAGAATTCAAGGTTCCATCCTAGAATTGCCCAAATCAGAACCTGCATTTTAACAGGTTAATGCTCCTCAGGCAAGTCATGCACTAAAGTTTGAGAAACAGTACTATGCACCATCCTATTTTTCCTATGTATCAGCTTAAGGATAGACATGACCACTAAACTAGGTTTACCAACATATGTAAGGATTCCTCTCTTTACATTGTAAGATAATAACCAGGTTGTCAGAGTAGTTTTCAGTTCTCAAGTCTGTCACTCAATAGTTGGAAGAAAATCTCACTCTTCAGTAGTCAGCTTCATTGCAAGAGAGTAATCCCTGTAATTTTAAATAAAAAGAGCTTAAGGGGCATGTTCTTCAGAATCTGTAATGTAACACTGACATTATGATGAAGAGAGGGACCTCAGGGGCTATATGTTTAACAAAAGCAAAATATACTAGCCTAATAACTTGCAATGACAAAATAAGAATATCTTGGGAAGGATATTTTTAGAGATCCAAGTTTGAGGAGAAACTGCTATTATTTACTCTTCCAACTAGTTCAAGGTTTTCCAGAGAGGGCAATTTCTTATTTAAATAATGCAAAAGAGAAAGCTCAGCAAAACCTTAATGATAACTGTAAACAGCCCATGCGGAATGCTTGCTGTGTGCAGATACACTTATATGCACATCTCCTGTAATATTCAGGAAACCTAAAAAGGCAGCCAGCACCACTAGTACCCTATTTAGAGATATGGAGACTGAGGCTCAGAGAGGTTAGTAACTTGAATACAGTTTATAAGAAGCAGAGTTGAGAGTATAACCCAGATCTGTCAGAATTGAAGTTTGATATGATCAAATGAGGGACTAAGGTGGAGAAAAATAATATCAGCTAACATCTATTAAGTGCCTACTATATGCCAAGTATCATTTTAATAGCTCAGTACATATTAATACATTCAATCTTAACAAACACATCATGTGAAAGGCACTGCCTATCGATCCCTTTTCTGTAGGTGAGGGTATTAGTCAGCTCAGGTTGCTGTAACAAAATAGCATTGAATGTATGGTTTAAACAACAAAATTCATTTTTCACCATTCTGGATGCAGAAGTCTGAAATCAGGAAGCCAGCATGGTTGGGATCTGATGAGTGTTCTTTTCCTGGCTTGTAGAAGGCTACTTTCTTGGGTTATGTTCATGTGGCTCCACAGAATCCACTTAGGCAATGTACTATGCTTCCTCTAAGTATCAATAAAAAGAGGACATATGAAGTATGACAACCCTCTACACTACAGGCTGCTCTATAGTCAATATTTTATTATTATTTTTACATAAAAATAACTTTATTCAAATATAATCCCCCCAAATATGTTCCTGTTATTGGAACTATAAGTACTACTTTTCTTCTCCTTTTTCAAAACCAGTATAAATAACAGAAATGGTAGAAAATAGGTTGAATTGTATTGACTGAGTGCTGGTAGCTTCTAGGGACAGATTTATTGAATGACATCTTTTTTTTTTTTTTTAAAGAAATATTTATTTATTTATTGCTTGAATTTTTTTTTAATAAATTTTATTTTTATATTCCCCATACAATTGCAACCCCCTTATTTTGACCCCAATCCCTCCCCTCCCCACGCCCCAACCCCCATAGAGTATCTCTGGTTCATAGTTTTGTGTTGATTTTGATTTTCACTTTCTTATTCATTTTCCTGGTCCCTAATTTAAGTTTTCTAGATTCCTTGAATGACATCTTTCAATTGCATTCAAGTTTTCACTAAACCTATTATTCTACACTGCCCTTCACTTTGTATTATTGCTAAGGGTCTCTCCACTCAAAAGTCCCTAGAAGTACCAATTAAAGGTGAGATTAAAGACACTTAACTCACAAGCTGGCAGGGGGAATTGGTGTTTATCTGTTCATGGATAATACTGGGCTGAAAAAGATTAATTCATGTCCAGCTCTTGCTGGACTACTGTACCAACCAAAAGGAGTCTGGCAGAAAAGGAATTGATAACCTGGAATTTTTGAAATGAAGAAAGTACAAATGAATCAAGAAGACTGATACATCTGAAGCAAAGCCATAATCCTTATTCTGAGAAAATGTCTCCATTATGAGCAAAAACAGCGAAAAAAGGCTCATGGGTATGCTAATGGCCAGATCTGTCACTCCAATCCTGTCCCCCATGCCACCCATTTGCTCTATTGGCAATGCATCCTCACCCAGACTACCTAAGATTCAGCCTTTAGGCCAGTTCAATGATTATGTCCTCATGATTTTTTTTTTACCATTCTTTTAAATTCAATTTGAATTTTAGTCACACACAGTTCTTTACTACTATGGGTATGGGGAGACTACTTATGATCTCACACATATTTTTTTCTTTCTTCACTATTCATGAAAGGATAACATTTCCCTGCCCCTTTTACAAAATAGGCAGGGCCAATGGACTAGTTCTGGTTACGATTGTATATGAACATAAAGTATGTCACTCACTTGCTAGGTTACTTGACTACCAGTGTGAAATCATTCTTGTATCTCTTCCTCTTGCCACTGAGATAGTGTTCTCATTGGTAAACTGCATTAGCCTGGGGCCCAGAATAAAGATAAGATGGAACAGAATTCCCTGCTAAATTACAATAGTGTAAAGCATAAAGAAGAAATAAACCTTTGTTGTTGTAAGTCTCTGAGGTTGGCTTTGTATGTGAGCATGATGGTGGTGGACATAAAACATGGGGGTAAGGGGTGTTTTTACAGACAACCTAGCTTATTTACTACAGTAGTAAATAACTACTTTCTGACTTCATATTATATATCATGCTGCTAATACTCTTCATTATTCCAAACTCAACAAATATTTATCAGAACATCTCCTATAGCAAGTCAATGTCCCAGGCACTAAAGGATACAATGATGAACAAAACATATGCAGTCACTGAATTCATATGATCATGACCTAGTGGAGCAAATACATGCACAACAATTACATGGACAAATATAAAGTTTAAACCAAAATCAGTGCTATGAAGAAAAATACATGTGACCTAGTAGGGAGGATTGTAGTGAGGCAACAGGAAAGGCTTTTCTGAGAAAGCCTTGAGCTGAAAGTCATATTCTAGAGATGATTTATGCAGCCCAATTAAGGGCAAACTAGGCAAAGACAGACCTGAGTAAGGAAAGAGAATAGCATTCTAAGCAGTGGTGTAACAGGCCAATTTGAAGTTAGGCAGTGACTAACATAAAGTAAGCAAAGAAATCAGTGAGACGGGAACTGACAATACAGAACTTTGTACGCCAAGCTAATGATTGCAGACCAACATAAAAGAAATGGAATGGAGGGCATCCCCTGGTGGCGCAGCGGTTAAGCGCTGCGCTGCGATGCTGCCCACAGCCTCTGCAGCGCCAGTTCGATCCCCGGCCACTGGCAAGGGTCCCACATGGCGCGCAGATCTCTCTGCGCTCATTCCTGCTGCTCCCCTCTGCAGTGTATTTCGTCAGTCTGCCTGTTCTGTTCCCCGCTCTGGTTCTGGTGATTCTCTCACCCTCCCATGCTTCTGACTGTACTCAGTGCTTGCATAAATAAATAAATAAATCTTAAAAAAAAAATGGAATGGAAGTCATAGAATTTAAAGATGGTAGGAAGAGGGTATCATTGTAACCTCATCACGACATGAGGACATTCCCTCCCAAGGTTAAATTCCATTGTCAGAACTCAGGGCACCAATACTTTGGTATGATCAAAAAAAGATGTATTGCTCATGCTGGTGAGAAGTCCCGGGTCAAGGGGCCTTCTGGAAGGAGGCCCAGAACAGAAAGAGAGCAGAGTGAACATGCATTTTATGAAGGAGAAGTTCCCCTAGTAGCACCTGTCTAGCATAAAATTTGACAGAAACTGTTTGCTTGGGGCGGGGGATGGAAAGGAAGGGGAGGAATGCTAAGCTTTGTCATGGTGCTTCAAGAAGTAACAGAAGCAGGAAGTGAGACTTACAGATTGTCAGTACTAAAGCAAACATCACAGGATTCTTGCTACAGGTTTCTTTCTCATGAAAAGATTGGGGGTGGGGGTGGAATACAAAATGATTAGATTTGGATTTCAAAGGATATTTCTGCTACAATGTAGACATTGGATTACAAATTAGGTGACTTCCTAAGGTGGAACCAGTTAGGAGGATTTTGCAGTGGTATAGATGAGAGATGAAGACAGCTGAAACAAGAGGGCTGATGAAGAGAGCGTTGGACATGAATTGTTCTACAAAGCAGTGTAGTCAACTTGTTGCTCCTTTGAAGGAAAAATTTCTAAGGTCAGTGGTGCAACCAGCAGGGCTTCTTCCAACAATCCTTTTCATGGTTTTCTCCTGAAAACACATGTATAATTTAGCCTATACCTTGCCTCTCCCCAATTGTCTTTCAACATAGCTTCCTCCATCACCATCACTCTATAGTAAATAAAGTAGTTTGCAAACTCTATGAAGAGAGTAAGAATTATTTGTTTTGTGAACTGCTTCTCACCTCAGGCAAAACCTCTAAACCTGGGCTCTGGAGATGGAAGGGGGACTATGGTGAGATGCTCTCTGAATGATTAACAATCCCACTCCAGGAACTGAGGTGGGTGTGGGGTGGGGAGCCTTGGAGTGTAACCACCACCTCAGGAGCCAAACAAGAGTGATGGGGGGCCTCCCCTGGTGGTGCAGCGGTTGAGCGCTGGGCTGCGAGGCTGCCTACAGACTTTGCAGCGCTGGTTTGTTCCCCAGCTGCCGGCGAGGGTCCCACAAAAAAAAAGAGTGATGGGAACCTCAATATTCTATCATGCTCTGCCTAAGGGAGAGTCACCGTTTCTCAGTGGGGGACAGGATGGAAAAGAGGGGTCCCTACATCTCAGCTGCATTCACCCAAGGCTTAGCCTTAGTAACATGTAACCGAAGACAAGAAGAAGGAAGAGAAACACAAGTCCTGCTCCTCCCAGGAAGAAAGCCTTTCAGCTGGGAGCTGAGGATACAGGGAGCCCCAAGCTCTCAGCCAAGAGCTGTCTGGAATTAAGAACCCACCTCACTGCGCTGGGAAAGGAGGGAGAGAACAGTGTAAGTTTAAATACCGGAGTTTTATCTTTCTCACTGAATTTTGCAGATGGTGTTGGATAGATGTTTCTTCATTTGCTGTTTGTCCTTAAGACCATTTCCAGAGATTTTTTTTTTTTTTTAATTTACCAGTTTCACTGGGGGACCTCTTAGCATTGGTCAGGAGATTTCCAGGAGATGTGACATAAGCAGAAGTTCAAAAAGTGCTTTCTCTGTGAGACTTTCCCTCTCTTGATATCGGGGAACCCTTTTACCACCATTTAAATGATTCTGGGCTAGTATCCAGGAGCGAACAGAAAGTCCCCAGCAATTTCTGGTGTCCCAGCAGAGACTGGGCCAGGAGATGGTAGTGTTAAAAAGGCCACGAGAAGAGCACATATCAGGGACGCTGAGAGCCCTGAATTCAGCTGAGAGAACAAGTAAGAGGCATTGATGTTGTTCATGTGTTAAGAACCATTTTATTAGTGAAACTGGAATGAGAGTCAGAGTAGAATGGATTCAGGAGTGCTAAGAAAGAGAGGAAATAGAGTTATTAAGAACTGGCAAAACTGTGGGAAAATGAGCTTTGGATGAGAAAAGGAGACATGACATCATTCCTCAACTGAGGGAGATTTTGCTCCCCCCATGGGACATTTGGTAGTCAGAAGACACTTTTTATGGTTGTCACAACTGAGGTCTGAGGGTGCTCTCTCTCAGATGCCACTCAACATTCTCAGATGTTAGAGAATAGCCCACAATAATGACTTGCCAGTCCAAAATGTCCAGAGGAATCCTGTCAACAGAGACGTGGCAGTGAGATTTTTAGGTTTTTTTGTTTGTTTGTTCTAGACACAGGTGATACTAGAATATGTTTGGAGTTTCACAGGAAGTATCTAGTTGAGAGGAAAAAGTTGAAGGTACAGAGGAGAAAGGTGTAATTTTCTGTGGATAAAAATTACTATCCTTTCTGACAAAATCTCAGAGGGTAAGTGAGTTGCCCCCTGTTAGGAAGTCAATGACTAATGGGGTCTAGATCCTCTTTAACCTATTTACTCTTGATGGAGCAGCTAGGGGAACTCTTACTCCTTTGGTGTACTGTCAACAACAGCAACTGCACTGACAACAGACACCTGACCAGGGATATGTCACAGGCATCTCCTACCTGCCTTATGGAAACTCTACTCTTACTAACCCACATTTTCTCTTCCGAACTATGATAGTAGTTTATTGTTAAGACTGAGTACAGCGTATGCAGAGAAGGGTTTTCACTGCAGCCCAGGCTCTAATCCTCTTAGTCTTATTTGTCGATAACTTGGACTCTGCCATAAGGCAACCATCACTTCCTCTTTGGGACCCACCTGTCTTAGGAATCCACCATGTCCAACCTTCCCATGCTTGAAATGTTCTGCAGTCCCAGCAATCACTCCAAGAGTCCTGTTCTATCTGAGGGGCACAGCTGGCTCGGTGTGCAGAAAACATAAAGAAAATGGATCAACCCAAATGAAATTGAACTCTGTTGAGTCTGGCTCTGAACGCCAACACTCTCTAGGTATTTTGATTGCCACTTACCCCTAAGGAATGATGCTGCAAAATTCTAAGCAAATAGTCAAAGGTCTTAATTATGCAGCAGTAATAGATGCATAGTTAAGAGGAGCTAGAAGCAGCACTTACTTGTACCCCAGAGACTATTGTGGCAAAGGAAAGTAAGAAGATGAAAGACAAATGAAGAAACGCAGGGAGGGAAGCCACTTGGAACCAGGTAACACATTAATACACTGACAAATCTGGGGAAGAAAACTTTTAAAACCTGCACCCATGGGACACGCCCCAGACAGAGCCTAAAAGTGTCCAGGGAACAGTTGCCTTCCTCCTAAGGAATCTGACTGGCCTCAGGGGAGACTAGAGAACTGTTAACTTAATGCAGTGGAAAAAAGTGTAGATTAGAAAGGGTAATGTGTCCATTTTTCTGTTTTCTGAGCTATTTTAATCTCAGAAATCTACTCTTTGGGTAGATTTCATAAACTCCCTCTCTACATTTTCCAGTTTTCAGGACTTCTGAATCTCAGGAAATTCTTCCATTAGGATTACATCTAGGCATATTTCCTGTTTGATCAACTTACAGTTTCCTCCTTATCAGCAATAGAGACACTAGTAAGATAAACTGAGAACTTGAGGTATTTCTTCTTCCTCCCTCCTTTCTTCTTTCTACCTATCTTACTAGCCATCTCTCTTTTTATTTTCCTACCCTCTCTCTCCCTCCTTACCTCCACCTTAACTTTCTTTTCTAGGATTTGAGTCCAAATAAATTTGACCCAAAATCTCACAAAGAATATAGACTACATGAGAGTAAATACAGCCCTGGATTATAAGGTTATTTATTTTTTTATATAAGATATGCACTCTGCTGTATTAAAATGTTAAAGTACAAGTTTTTTGGGGAATGCTATCAAATATATCAATCTATTGAAAAGCAATACGGGTTCACTATTATTAACTTGCCAGGGTTTTCTGTGTTGTCTTTTGAAAGTATAGAAGTAGTTAATTTTTTTCTCATCTCTACATATTCATTGCGGCATTGCTAGAGCAGAATAAATGGCTGAAATGGCAATTTGCCACAAATTCGTCTACCACTTTGAGAGGAGTATATTAGAAGAGAATATCACTTACTATTGACTAAAACATTAAAAGATGAAATAACAACATTAGAATCAAGTGCTTTTTCATTTAAAAAATCACTAAAAATCTACCATGAAAATATTGAAAATAGGGCCTCCCCGGTGGCGCAGCGGTTGAGCACTGGGTTGCGAAGCTGCCCGCGGCCTCTGCGGCGCCGGTTCGATCCCCGGCTGCTCCCCGGCCACCGGAGGAGGGTCCCACATGGCGCAGACCTCTCCTGCCGCCCGCTGCTCCCCTCAGCGGTGTGCTTCGCTTCTGCCTGCTCTGCTCCTCGCTCTGGTGAGTTCTCTCACCCTCCCGCGCTTCTGACTGTACCCAGTGCATGTATAAACAAGCAAAACAAACAAATAAATAAATAAATAAAACATGCCTCTATAAAAAATAAAAAAAGAAAAAAAGAAAAAAGAAAAAAAAAAGAAAATATTGAAAATACATTGGATCACAGCCTAGCCTCTTATTACAGAGCTTAAAGCACTGTTTATAGAGATTGTGCTATTTTCCATAGACGTTAAGCTTATGAGAGGCAGGATCCAATAAAAATCTGGGATCCTTTAATTTAGGGTACTTCATTTCTGGACAGTGACTGAGACAAAGATATGAACAATTTATATTCAGCTAAAATTAAGCTTTCCTGTTTCTTTTCCCACTTTAATATCTCTTTACGGAATTGTTACTTCCCTTCTCCTTTCTTTTTTAATTTTTTACTCAAATTTTATTGATTCATCATACCTCACACCTCAACATCTGCACAAGCTTTCACTCACCCTCCATCAAAGCTCCAGTGCCAATGTCCTGTCACTCCCCCATTTCCTCCTGGCTCCCCTGCCTCCTCTCTGGTAACCACTAGATTTATCACAGAATCCAACAGTTATTTTTTTGTCTTTTGTCAGCTTGCTTTCACTGCCTATTTATGATCCACAAATGAAAAAGACAGAATCCAGAGTTAAAAGATGATGAAACACCGACACAAAAAAGTCTATTCTACCTATAAAAGTTCAGTGCAGGGGTCTCCCTGGTGACACAAGGGGTCAAGATGCAGCCTATGAAGCTATCCGCAGTCACTGCAGCATGAGTTCGATCCCCAGCCAGGGAGGTGACCCACCTGGTGCAGCAGACCTCTCCTGACTCGCCCACTGCTCCCCTCAGCAGTGTACTTTGGTCATTCCGCCTGTTCTGCTCCCCACTCTGTCTCTGGTGAATCCTCTCACCCCTGCACATCTGGCCTGTATACCAGTTCTTGTATGCATAAATAAATAAAAAATAATCTTAAAAAAAAAGTTCAGTGTTTTGTGACCACAAAACAAAAATCTGGACCAACAAGATACTTAGAAAAAGAAAGGAAGAAATGGGATCATCAGCAAAAAGATAGAATGGAAGTAAATAGTCTCACATGTGAATAACCACCCTAAGTGTGAATGACCTGAAGTCACCATTCAAAAGACACAGAATGGCAGATTGGATAAAAAAGATGACCCTTCTGTATTATGCATACAAGAGTCTCACATTGGATCTAAAGAGAAACATGGACTTAAAGTGAAAGGCAGGTATTTCAATCCAACAACATAGAGAAAAAAAGCAAGAAACACTATTCGCATATCTGATAAAACAGCCTTCATCCAAAAAGGTGATTAGTGACAAAGACGGGCACAATATGATGATCAAGGGGACAATTCATCAAAAAGTAATTGTATTCAAAGCTCAAGCACCCAACACAGGTGCATGCAGCATACCACGTGTAAGGACAGTGACCTAGATGTGGGAGCCATGTCCCAAAATGTGATGCCAACGAAGTGATGAGGAGAAAAGACAACTAAGTGACATTAGGAGCGCTGTAATCAATAATGTCAAGGCTCTAGACAGTCTGATTCTTCAGTTTCTTTATGGAAGATAACTACCCATTCCCATTTAAAGGGACAACCCAAGGCTGGATTGCCAAGGGCATTGAATTCTCTGCAGGAAGTTGCATAGCTCCAGCAGCCCAAAGCACTCAGCAAGGAGCAGCAGGTGGACCACCTAATTACTGCCAAATTCAAATATGAGCTTGATGGCCTCACAAACAGCCCCTTCTCTTTTTGAAGTGAAAAAGAGGAGGAAAATCTAAGAACTATTAATGCATGGTTTCTTGGGCATACCTACCTATGTATGAGCTACTGCCACTCTGCAGATTATCTGAGAGTGGACATAAGCATCACTCTGGTTAATAATGTGCATTTTGGTCAATTTGTTTATCTCTGTCACGCCTGCCTTTCAGGTGCTGGGACTCAGATCGGCTACCATTTCCATTTGCCTCAAGTCACTGACAATGACACTAGAAGAGTGGTGAGTGAGCAAACTATTAAAGATCACACAGAATATATGAGAGAATTGGAGTTAAAACTCACACCCCACAGCTTCTCAAGTTAAGCAATTATTATAGCTCTATTGGTCATTAGCTTCTTGCCACCAAATAGCTGAAGGAATTTAATCCACTGTGCCTTAAGGTGAACATGGAATAAGAAAAAAGTTAATCATTCATAAGTCATGATGAGTCTTTCACAAGTCAAAGTGTTGGGCCAAAAGACTTTCTGAAATATCCTGCATCTCTAGCAAGCCATACATAGAGAAGGACACAATGTATTCCCTAATTTTTATTTGAAAATTATTCAAACATGGAAGCCATTTTCATCTAGTTGTGGAGTCAGTAGCATTTACCAGGACACACCACTGATGGGCTGATTTTGCCCAGTGTATTGTTAGACCCAGGCCCTCACTTGTCCTAAATCACCTAAGGCGAACAATAACTCATGGAAGGCACTTTTTACTTGGGAATTTGCTACATACATGCTAGCAGTTCTCATTTAACTTCATGAGTTCTGATAGTTATGCTAATGGGTCCATTGCTGCAATGTGTACTCTTTTTAGTTGTATGTGACATTCTGATAGACATTCTGACTCATCAAGATGTCTCTTCGAAATAAGTCAGAAAGAAAAAGAAAAATAGCGGATGGTCTCACTCATAGCAGGAATTTAGAAAACCTAAATAAGAGACCAGGAAAAAGACTAATCAATACAAAGTAAAAATCAAAATCAACAAGCAACTATAAACCAGAGACACACTGGGTGGGGGGAGGGAGCGACTGGGAAAGGAAGGACTAGAGTCAAAATAAGGGGGGAGGTGCAATTGTATGGGGAATATAACTAAAATGAAAATGCATACATTGTGCAAAGATGAAAAAAGATGTAAGAAATATATAAATAAAATATTTAAATAAATGAAAAAAGATGTCTCTTCTCTTCAAATTATTATGTTCTACACATTTATAATGCAATAACTTTCCTTGAATGCTTTTTTATATGGCTGTTGACATAACTGAGTTTGCCCCAGTTTTCCAACAGAAAAGTTTTAACCCTAAAACAAAATGACAGAGTCCTGACAAGACTTAGTAGACTATTTGTGGCTAATGAGATGAAGCTGAGAACAAAGAATTCCTAGAGGACTGTCACATGGCAGAAACTTCAAAACTGGTCTTTACGTTATTCTATCTGGCTATTCTCAAGACTTCTTAAAATTCCCTTCTCAAAAGAAAACTTTCTGACAAAGTTGCTGTGGTGCCAGTACTTTCCTAGGGAGAGCACTCTGCAGTCTTTTGAGTAGCTTCCTGGTATTCCTTGGAAGACAAGGCTCTGCAAGAAGTGTGTTCCTTCTCTCTTAACCTAACCCAAACAACATTAAAAAACAGAGGAGTCCTTGGTTATGCAACTCAAGAATAGCAGGTCCGGGCATAAGAGAGAGGAGTTCTT